CACTACAGTTGTTAAGGGAATCGTGAGGATGTTAAGTGAATCCAACTTCTGCCATTGATTTTGCGTGTTGGAAGCCAATTGAGAAAGTCACAAATGATGATCACGTGCCTGCAGGATGCAGCAACCATCAAAAATATATGCTGGGTGCCAAGTGTCCAAATTTTAATCACATGACTGTAGGAATGCTGCAATGGTTATAAGAACGAGGACTGGTCATAAGTCACTTTTTTCAGTGTTCTTGTAACTTCAAACAGTCGCTTAAAGAAGGGTTATAAGGCAAGGACTATGTATACAGTGGAATTACTTATAGTTTTAATTTAGGAAATAAATGAGTCATGCAGAAAACTGCACAGGATGTCGCTTTTATTTGTGAAGGTAAAAAAAAGAATTCTGAATGATTTCAATCTTTCCTCCCAGGAAAAAAAATGCTTTTATCTATGGTCTTTTAAATTATTCCTTTTGGTTTGTCTACCATCACAATGTATACAGGTATTGCAGTCTTGTCATCTATACCTTTCAAAATCTGTACACAAATCACTATTTTCGACAGTTAAAAATTTGGCCATTTGATATGGAAACCTGCAACAAAGCAAGGTAACTCAATTCAATTCTGCTTTCATGTAATATTGGAACCATAGCTGTGCATAAAGCAAAAAGCCAACGTTTGAAAGGAATTTATTTTTCCCCCTTGATAATTTCCAGAATTACAGCCTGGATGTCTTTCAGCACAATCTTTTAAATTCCATTAGTTCAAAGTTATCTAAACTAAAGAGTATAGAATACTGTTACAAGCAATTTAATGACAAGAAAGCTGATGTCAGTGGATAATTATAGTATGTCATTGATGATTTTATGACATATTCACAGGCCCTTAGAGAGGGGTTTTCAGATTCCTAAAGTGTTGCTCATACTTTTAGCAAAAGAATGTAGTTATATTTGGGAAGTGACAATCATTTTTTAAGAAGCTTGTTCTTTCTTCCCAAATCTTCAATATAAACATTTGTTAAGGCTAATAAGCATCCCTCCATCTTAAAATGGGTACACAAATGTTTAAAAAAAGCAGAAAGCCCATAAACATTTTTTTCCTTTTCAGTTTTGATTCTATCAACCTGCAACCATTATTGTGGTCACATATCAGTCATCTTAAATTGAGAAAATATTATTCAGTGTCCTTGCTAACAAAAAGCTACTCAGAGTACATATTCATTTCCCTTAGTTGAATTCAACCACAAGTGATGTTTCTAAAGAGCCAGTTTGATGCAACAGTTAAAGACCAGGCTAGAAACAAGGAGACTGTGAATTCTAGTCCTGCCTTAGCCATGAAAGCTGGCTGGCTAACTTTGGACCCATTACTCTCTTTAGACCATGACATGTCAGTCAATTCCTGTCACCACCATATGGTTCAGCCTTTGGTTGCTCTAAAAAAAGCAGACCTTTCATTTGTGGGGAAATGCTAGGAAGAAAAAAAAATTGTTGTGCACATCTATTATACAATATATAAAATCCTGGACATATAAAAAATAAATCAAATCCTGATTAGAGACTTCTGCCAAGGAAGGACAAGCCATATGCTCTACCTAGCCAATAGCCAAGTTTGGTACCATAGATGCTGTTTAGCCAGCCCCTCTCAGCTTCTCATATATGTGGACCTCCTCTTAGAATTCTTTATCAATAATGGCCATGTTGACAATTCTGAGAATTCAAGATCCACGTATTTAAAACTTTTGTAGCCTGGGAAAGTTTAATTTTAAGGAAAAAGTTTATTACAAGGGCCAACAATTGCTGAATCTTGTCTGGTTAGTGGTTTGCTGAAGTCTAAAATATTCTAGACTTTACCTATGTTGCCGTCACCTACAGTTATATGTCCTGAACCAGCACATATTAAGTTATACTTAACTGAACTCTTTGCTTAGAAATGATTTGCAGTTGTCCAAAAGCAAGCAAAGCAGTTCCTTCACAAAAACATGGGGAAGTGTTTTATAATGAGTTAAAACACTGCTACACCTAGCTCAGAGGTTAGGAGTTCTCCAGCGTTTCTTTCCCACATTGATGTTTGCTAATCCTAATCCAAGCTATCTGGGATTTCACAAACTTCCTTTGTATCTGAACTTTGCTCTGTCATTGAGCTACAACTGCCTTCTCTTGATGTCATGTAACAGTAACAAAACAGGATTGTCATTTTCATTTATAAAAGCTTTCCGAGTGCATAATGTCTTTTTCTGAATATGTAAAACAAAAATAAAGACTGAAGCATATTCAAAGTGACTCTTGATTTAGAAGGCAAAAGCATACAGTAATTTCTTTTCTGATTGGAAGCCACCTTGATGTGCTAAGGAAAACAACATGGATGTGCACGGTTAATCTGTTAAAAATGGTGGTTAGTTCATATACAAGAGGAGAGAAGTTATCTGCTTGACAGAGTGCATGATTCAGAATGACCTTCTGAACAAACGCTTTGCACTACAACTGGAGAGCTAAAATGTTATAGCTACATGCAAGGGGCATTTGGTCCTTTGCTAAACCATCATTGTTGGAATTGGCAAATTACTGACAACCAGCCTGCAAAGCTTCACAATCTGCTCCTATCTGGCATACCTCCCATACAGATTGCCTTCCCCACTAAGCCCTGTTTATCCTTTGCATTTTCCCATTCAAATACTAAAATACTAAATAGGACTATTAAAACTCTACGTACTGTCTATTTTATAGGCTCCAAGAACTGGAAAAAAAACATTTTTAATATGGACTGAGTACAAAAAACTGAGCCTGATTTACTGTTTTCCACTTTCTTTCTTTCTTGAGGTATAGTCTTGCTAAAGTGAAGAGCCCTTAACCACAAGAAGTCTCTCCATATGTTAAATCATTAAAACCTGCAAGTATCATGCTAAAAGAGATGTCCACTTTGACTTGAATGATGTGCCCTAGCAAATACAAAAACAGTCGTACATCACTGAACTCTACAATGGTCTACGGTAGCACAAGTTGGCTCCATTCAGCAGTCACAGGATTAAAGATTACACCTCTGGTTCAAAACAAGGACACAAAGGAAGAGTACTAACCACCAAAGTCAAGAGAAAATTATTCTGCTAACCCAAGATGGGTGATTAGGTTGTGTAACAAATGAGAAAAGAGGGTTGGTTTCTGTTACTACATCCTTTCAGTTGAAAGGCCGAATATCCAACTTCAATAAATTGCTCCTAATTGTTCCAAATCAGACTTCTCATGAACTCTTCCCCCAGAAATTTCTGATCTGGCCATAGACCAGTAACGCATCAGTCACATGACTTAAACCTACATCACCAAGAAGGTATCCTTCATATTAGTATAGAGACTCATATTTGGAGCTGACAAAGTAGAAAACTTAAGGGCTTCTATGTTTCTCTTTGAGGTGTATATGCATGTACACTAATACCTGAACTCAAGAAGTCTCTTCATACAGCAGTAATTGGGAAAGTCTAAAACCTAAGAGCAGATCTAGCCAGGTATTCCCCTAAGGCAGGGGTCCCCAACCCCTGGGCCCAGGCATGCCAGAAACCGGGCCGCACAAACAAGCAAAGGCCCATCCATGGGATGCAGGCAGCACATGAACCCCTCCCCCCCTTCTGGTCCGCAGAAAAGCCTCTCTCCACAGGACCGGTAGCTGGTGCCCAAAAGGTTGGGGGACATTGCCCTAAGAGGGAATAATTCCCTGCAATATGATTCCTGACCAGTTGGATTCAGCAGTAACTTTTATCCACAGGCTGCCAAACTGCCTTTCAGCTGCCCCCAGAAGCTCCTCCAGCCTTCACAAATACCTTTCCTGGGGAATTTCAAATGCAGGCAGTCGTAACTTAATGTCATGCTTTGGAAGAATGGGGGGGGGGCGGGCTTGAAGAGATCACTTCTTTTTTCCAGTCATACAAAAGACATTCCTATCTTGTCTCCTTAAATAAACTCACATTACAGTCATAGATAGATAGATAGATAGATAGATAGATAGATAGATAGATAGATAGATAGATAGATAATAGACAGACAGATGTATATGTGTATATAGTGATTTTAGTAAGATATAGATATCTTACTAAATTTAAAGAACATTGTAGAGCAGTGGTTCTCAACTTGTGGGTCGGGACCCCATTTGGGGTCGAACGACCATTTCACGGGGGTCGCCAAACAACGCAGTCTGCCATTTTTTTTCCCCTTTTCCTTAGCTGTGCTACTCCCTTTTATTCTATTGGCTTTTGAAAGCCAATAGAACAGACTCTCATGAATAGAGTCTAAGTCTATTGGCTTTCAAAAGCCAATAGGAATTGTCCAGGCTGTCTCTGCCCTGCTGAGCCCGCCAAAAGTCCCATTCTGCTAACAGTGCTGCACCAGTTGAGTAGTCCTCGACTTACGACCAGTTGAGTAGTCTTCGACTTACAACCGGTTGGGGGTCACAGCATTAAAAAGGTTGAGAACCACTGTTGTAGAGGGACAGCCACTAGCCAAAAAGCAGGACTCTAACAACATTAAGAGATCATATTTAAAAGGCACTTGTTCAGAAGTCTGGCTTATCTCCTCCCTTCATTTAAACTTACCCTATTAAGTATCGTTATATATATATATTTTTTCATTCGAACCATGGATGATCCCTGGTAGAATGGTAGCAGAAAGGATAAGGGATCATCCATGCTTTGAATGAAAAAGGACCCTTTATCCTTCCTGCCACCATTCTACCAGGGATCATTATCGTCCCATTGTGACTCCGTGCCCTTAAAAACTTAATTTGAAGATTCTGAGCAAGACGGTGGTAAAGAAGTAGCCTGAGTCTCTCCCCTCCCCCCCCATCAGTTAGCAACCATATCTGACACACACGCGGCATCGTTGCTCAGTCTCCCTTTCACGTTTTGATCAAGTAACTGGAAATAACTTTCCTCCCCCCCCCGCGATGTTTTCAAACCTTTCCCCCAGCTCGCCCCTGATCTCCATTGAATCCCTATCTGATTCTTCCCCGGCGGCGCTTTTGGCAACCTTACCAGATGGCGATCCGATGCTTTGGGTACCGCAGCCTGTCCAGACAGCCGAGGAAATGGGGCAGGGAGCGGGCAGCGTTCCTGGCGAGGATGGCCAAGAAGACGGTGGGCTTCTGCAAGGCGGATTCCGGTAGGGAGGACGAGCTGAGCATCGCCGCCTCATCCTCCGGTGTGCTGGCGACACAGCCGTTCCCCTTCAGCCAAAGCGCGAAAGAAAAGTGAAGCAGAAGTACGAGCAGGAGCCGCGGGCGCAGCGAAGTGGCGGCGGAGAAAGCCGGGATCGCAGCCATTTTTCGTGGGGATCGCAATTTCGGGCAGGGCTAGAGAAGCGGACCGGCTGCTACGGCGACAGCAGAAGCGAAGCTCCGCAAAGACCTCCCGGCGTACCTGCAGGTCTGGCTGAACGGGAAAAAGAGGAGAGCGGGCGGGAGAGCCGCTCCAACGAAGACGCGCTTCTCTCCCCCCCCCCTCCTTTTAATTACTTGCTCCAGGCAGAGGAGGCGGGGTGGGGGGGGAGGTTCTGTCTTTGCCAAGGCGGATTGGTGACGGCAGCAAACCTGCAGCCAATCGTGAGCTCCTGGCTACTCTTGGCGCAAATCAAAACAAACAATGCGTGCTTTCTCATTCTTTCTTTCCTTTCTCTCCGCAGTCGCCCCAAGGTCCCGGGAATAATGCTAATCGGAGCCGACCAATAACAAGCCAGAAATGGACCATCCCAGGCATCTGGCTAGCAGATTTGTGCAATCGTTTTGGAAATCCTGAAGAGCTTTTCATTTATTCATTTATGTATATATCTCATTCCATAAAGGTCAGATGGCAGGGATCGTCTTGAATTGTAATGCTTTTTATTATTATTATTATTAAAAATGTGGCAGGGGGGAAAACCGTACTGTCCCCGACTTTTTGGTATTCTCCCTTGCGCCCTGAAAACTATCTCACCCATACATTTCTAATACACAATTTCGTTAAGTGTTTAATACACATATTTATTTATTTTATTTATTTATTTATTAAAATTTATAGACCGCCCCACTCCCGCAGGACTCCAGGCAGCTAACAATAAAAACACAATATAACTTAACAAAACAAACAATACAATAACATTCATCCAGGGGTCAGATTTTATAAACTATGACAGCGGTTCTCAACCTGTGGGTCGCGACCCCATTTGAGGTCCAACGACCATTTCACGGGGGTTGCCAAACACTGTGATCCGTCGTCTTTTTCTCAGCTGGCGCAGGGGACGGCGCATGGGGGAGCGCCGCCACGCATGCGTGCCACGTAGGGAGCGGCGCCGCGCATGCGTGCCGCCTGCTTATGACCGGGGTCGCCAGTCTAAAAAGATTGAGAACCACTGAACTATGAGGTAGCCTGGCCCTGAGCCATATAGAGCTTTAAAGGTAATAACCAACACCTTGAATTGGACCCGGAGACCAATAGGCAACCAGTGCAGCTCACGGAGGATAGGTGTAACGTGGGTGTACCGAGGAACACCCACTATCACTCGCAAGGCTGCATTCTGGACCAACTGTAGTCTCTGAATACTTTTCAAGGGTAGCCCCATGTAGAGCGCGTTGCAGTAGTCCAGGCGTGAGGTGACAAGGGCATGAGTGACTGTAAGGAGAGCCTCCCGGTCCAGGTAGGGTCGCAACTGGTGCAACAGACGAACTTGTGCAAAGGTCCTCCCAGCCACAGCCATCAAATGATGTTCCAATTTCAGCTGTGGATCAAGGAGGACACCCAAGTTGCGAACCCGCTCCAAAGCGGGTATATTTTCCCCTGCTAGAGTCAACACTGGACAGTTAACGTGATCCTTGGGAGGCAACATCCAAAGCCACTCGGTCTTGTCAGGATTGAGCCTGAGTCTATTAACCCCCATCCAGACCCTCACGGCTTCAAGGCAACGGCCCATCACATCAGCCGCTTCACTGAGAGAGCTCGGGGAAGAGATATATAGCTGGGTATCATCAGCATACTGATGAAACCTCACCCCGTGCTGTCTGATGATCTCACCCAGCGGCTTCATGTAAATGTTAAATAGGAGGGGCCTCGGGGTTGACCCCTGCCCCCCCCACCAATACCAATTGCGACCAGCCAGAGAGGTAGGAGGAGAACCACCATAAAATGGTGACTCCCACTCCCACCCCTCCAAGTCGTCACAAAAGGATACCATGATCGATGGTATCAAAAGCCGCTGAGAGGTCAAGTAGCACCAAGACAGAGGAATAACCCCTGTCTCGGGCCCGCCAGAGATCATCCATAGTGCGACCAAAGCAGTTTCTGTGCTGAAGCCGGGCCTGAAGCCAGATTGAAAAGGGTCTAGGTAATCCGCTTCATCCAGAGACTGTCAGAGCTGGAGCGCCACCACTCTCTCTACAACCTTCCCTAAAAAGGGGAGATTGGAGACTGGGCGGAAGTTATTTAAATCAGCCGGGTCCAGGGTAGGCTTCTTGAGAAGGGGCCTCACAACCGCTTCCTTCAAGGGTTGCAGGAAAGATCCCTCCCTCAACGAAGCGTTGATCAACACCTGGAGCCAGCCTCGTGTCACCTCCTTGGCGGCCGAGACCAACCAGGAAGGACACGGGTCCAATAAACAAGTGGAGGCGCTCATCACTCCCACCGCTCTGTCAACATCCTCAGCGGTCACAGACTCAAATTCACCCCATAAAACTGGGCTAAGACCTGCCCCGGTCATCTCAGAAGGCCCTGCCCAATCGGAGTCTAGGTCTGTCCGAATCCGAGCAATTTTGTCTGATAGAAACTGCACAAATTCTTCCGCCCTACCCTGTAAGGGCTCCCTGGCTTCCCGAACATTAAGTAGGGAATGGGTCACCCTAAACAGGGCAGCGGGGTGAGATTCTGCAGACGCAATAAGTGCGGAAAAATGCGAACATTTTGCCGCTCGTATTGCCACTAAATAAGTCCTAATATAGGCTCTTAAAAGTATCCGGTCGGATTCGGAGTTATTAGCCCTCCAACGTCAGTCTAGACATCTCTTCTGACGCTTCATCTCCCTAGCTCCTCGGTAAACCAAGGTGCCCTCCGGGATTCACAATCACGGAGAAGTCGCAAAGGCGCGATCCGGTCTAACGCCCCTGATGCCACCTTATTCCAAGCAGCAACCAAGGACTCAGCCGGTTCGTGGAGGAGGGAATCAGGAAAACCCCCAAGTGCTATTCGGAACCCCTCCGGGTCCATTAAATGCCTGGGGCGGAACCACCTAATCGGTTCCGCCTCCCTGCGGTGGGGGAGTAGGACCGAGAAATCTAACCTCAACAGGAAGTGATCCGACCATGACAAGGGAGAACTGACTATACCCCTTAAATAGAAATCATGTCTCCACTGCCCCGAGAAGAATACCAAGTGGAGCGTGTGTCCTCCCCTATGGGTCAGACCCTGAATTATCTGGGTCAGGTCCATGGTTGTCATGGAAGCCATGAACTCCTGAGCCACACCGGAGGATTCGCCGAGTGACGGCAGATTGAAATCCCCCAGCACCATAAGCCTGGGGAATTCCACCGCCAACCCGGCTACCCCCTCCAGCAGCTCGGGCAGGGCTGTTGTCACATAGCTGGGAGGCAGGTATGTCAACAACAAGCCCAACTGAACCCTTGAATCCAACCTCAAGAGAAGGGACTCACACCCAACAACCTCTGGGGCAGGGATCCTGCGAGGTCTCAAGAATTCTCGGACAAGAATCGCCACTCCCCCACCCCTTCCCTGGAATCGCGGTTGGTGCATTATCTGAAACCCGTCTGGGCACATATAAGGGGAGAATAAAATATTCAAGGATTTACATCTGATACACTTTAGTTTGAAGTGGGAAAGGGAAATTGAAGGATAATCCACGATGTTTGTGCACTTCTGCAAGTAGTCCCTTTTTCTCAGCCTGAATGCATTTCATGGAAACCATCTGTGATCTGATTTCATAGGAAACTGAATCCCAGACAAATCTGGTTCCCAAGGTTCTCATTACTGAGTAGTATGCTGAGAGCATGGTAATGCTCACCTGGGAGTAATGCCATCCCACTTGATGAAGTCTATTTAGAAACTTACTTAACCATCTCTTTATTCATTGAAAGCGATCTCATGCGTCCACTAGAACTGATCACCCACAAAATCTACAGGATACAGTTCCAGGTACACATTAGGCTGCCTGTCAAATTTGATAGGACTCAAGTGCACATTGACATTGGACTGAAGCAGAAATGGGCTACCACTCAATTCAGGTATGTTAACAGAAAGCAACTGGATTAAGCATCTTCCTTTGCTTAATTCAAGCAAGTGAACCAAGAATAGCAACCAAAGAAAAAAGGGTCTTTCCCTGAAATCCTCTAGAATAGCTAAATAAAGAAAAAAATCATTTGTATAATATAGTATGATGACTGGAGCAATATTAAACAAAAATCCATAAAAATCTACCACAGGAAGGGTAGGATGGGAATCCTACATCAGGACATTTTTAAATCAGTAACATCAGTATATGTTTAATATTAAGGTTTTTTTTCCTAACTAATATATAAAGTTCAACACATTTACATGATAATATGATCTCTATTCCTTACCAGTTAAGACTAATGGGAACAAGTTCCAGAAAACTGTTACATTTGGGGCAGTTCCCAATGTTACAGCAGCATAGCTAATGCAGATTTTATTATCTCGTACCCTTGCAATTCTTTTATCTTCAAATATTCAGTTTTATTGAAATTAGGTCCCACCACAGTAAATTTTAGCACTGCCGTTCAGCCTGAGTTGTTTCCAAGTAAATATAATTTAAAATACAGTACATATGGTTTAGCAAATAAACAGAGCTCATATAAAATCTTAAATCATGGTTCACTTAATCATGATATATTGACTAAGGCACAGATGGCTTGATTTCCATGTGTTAAATCATAAAATCATGACTTATACAAAATACCTGTATCCACATTACATATTAAGTTAAAATTAATCATCTCATAGCTTAGCAAAATCCAGCCAGACTGTTAAATTACTGAGATTCAGATCACTAAATAGCTCAAACATAATATCTCCTGCAAGTAGCAGTGCATTTAAATACATGAAGGACCCATTTCCCACCAAGTAGAATGTCATTTTATCAAATCTATAAGATGCTATCTTTCTCAAATTATATTTTCAATTAATATTCTCTGGAAGCATAACAGCTTCTTCTCAGCATTGCCAATTGATAGGGTTAATTTTAGGAAACACTTAATAAGACTATGCTTCTAGAATTTCATACTTGTAACACAAGATTGAACTAACTGAACACTCAGCTTCCATTCATGTAAAAGCAGTAATGAAAGAGCTTGAACAGATGTTCTTTATTTATTACTTTTTTCCTCCAGTTGAACTTAGAGAAGATCCCAAATTGTTTCCAGACAGATTTAATCTCCAATTTCTATTCAAGAAAAATACAATTTAGATTCAATGATAGAAATGCTAGAAGGATAATAATAGCAGAAAATTTGTAACACCGAGAGTTGTTAAAAAATTGTTTTCTGATAGATTTTTGCATTGATGTCCTTTAGTTGATGTAAATAAATGGATGACATATAAATCCAATTTGAATTTAAAATATAAGCATTACATTCAGTCTCACAATTGTAATACATTTGATTGATTTAGTATTAGCACCATTAATAAATATGTTCCCAGACAGATTAGCTGTAAAGAAGAAATGTGTGCAAAGAACAGAAAATGGAATCAAACAAAATGAGAAGTTTAAGAAAAACTCTGAAATATCATGGCTATTTTTATCTGTTAATATATAATTATCCACCTGTTTATTATTGGGGGAAAGGAGTCTACATTATATGGGTTTCCATTTGTAACTCACCCAAGTTTTGTCATTGTCTGTAGAGGAAAATAGAATAGCTACCTGGGGTCTTCTGACTTGTGGTGCTTGGATCCAACTGTATGCAAACATCTCACCTATTAAAACATAAAACTTATGACTGCTTACTTTTCTTTGAATCTTTTCACTGGTTTAATCTGCAAACATTCAAAACTGATACAGGTAGTCCTTGACTTATGACTTATTTAGCCCAACATTTATGTTGCTAAGTGACACATTTGTTAAGTGAGTTTTGTCCCATATCATGACCTTTCTTGACACAGTTAAGTGAATCACTGCAGTTGTTAACTTAGTAACATGGTTGTTAAGTAAATCTGGCTTTCCCCTTGACTTTGCTTGTCAGAAGGTAACAAAAGGTGATCACATGACCCCAGGACACTGCAACCATCACAAATATGAGTCAGTTGATAGGCATCTTAATTTTGATCACATGACCAAGGAGATGCTGCAACGGGCGTAAGTGTGAAAAATTGTCATAAGTCACTTTTTTCAGTGCTGTTGTAACTCCAAATGGTCACTAAATGAACTGTTGTAAATCGAGGATTACCTGTAATTCATATTTCAATGTTCATTTCAGTAGGGAAAGAATATTCAGAATACCTATTGCTTGTGTGTAGAAGTCTAGAATCCTTACAATTCTAGAATCTTTACAGAAAGATCTCTTTCTTCTCCACATTATCCAAGTCATTTTGGGTTTTGGGTTGTTGTTTTTTTTTTAAAAAAAACCTGCTTTTTATATGCTGCTTTCAGAGATGTCCTGTTCTCTTACTTTGTTTCACATTCTATTGTTGGATTTGTACTTTGGTGCAATACTAGCAGGATGCAAACATGGGAGGATTTTTTTTGCAAACTCCGTTGCCTCCACCTTGATGTCAGACGATCACTTGACAGAAGTTAAAAATTTATGCACAATGATAAAACGATAAAAGTTAAAATGTTTCTCATCATATGATAACCATAATTTAGATGAAGAAAATCTATGAAATTTTCCTTCCTATAAAACTCTTCCCAGCAATTTAACTATTAATTTGATATACCTTAAGGCAGGGGTCCCCAACTCCTGGTCCATGGACCACCACTGGTTCGCAGCATGCCAGCAAGCGGGCCACACAAACAAGCAAAGCTGCATCCTCGGGATGCAGGCAGTATTCAAAACCACAGCCCCTTTGGTCTGTGGAAAAACCTTTCTCCATGGCACCGGTCCCTGGTGATCAAAAGTTTGGGAACCTCCGCCTTAAGGTATTAATACAGGAATCCCTCTATCAATCTTGAAATAGTATCAATATTTTACCCTATAAAGTCAGGGATTTTAAATTATCTTTTTATATTAGTATTAGTCTGAAGTAAATAGTCAGAAACATTTACATCTACAAATAAGGATACTTAAATTTAGTTTTTCGAGAAACCATATCATGCTGTTTAATATATATCCAGCACAGTAATTTGGCAGGTGTGAGAAAATTTAGTGCTAGTCCAATGTGTTTGAGATACATAGATTCGTCTCAAATTCTGTTGTCTCAAAAATATATCTTGCAAATCAGGAGCTGGTAAAGAAGGTTTGTTAGTTTTAAAAAAAATCAGAAATTGGAAGAAGAAATTAAAAAATGAGAAAGAAATAAGAAAAAAAATATTCTTAAGAATGACACGTTTACTTGCTGAAAAAAGGAACCCTAAAGCTGTTTAAAAGTTTCGCGGAGGAACTATTTTGTTGCAACACCAACCGGAACGAAGCTGAATGACACGCGAATTGGGAATGGAAAAGTCGGAGAGTGATTGCGGAGACGGCTCAAAGGAGGAGGAAGGTTCGGTTGCTGGATGCTCCGGGTTTTTTGGTCGGGAGGAGGAAATCCCAAAGCCCGGGAAATGGGCCCTTCGAGAGGACTGGCTGGCAACTCATCCTACGGTTAGTAGAAGAAGAACTGGGGGAACAAAAATCTCCCTTCTGATATCTGGCTTGCTCATCTGTAGCAAAGTTAAATTCATCATTCATTTTTCGTAAACCCCAGAACTGCAATTCGACAGCTTGAAGTATGCTAAAATAAAATGTAGAAATTTAGTGTTTAAAAAGGGTGAAGATGTCGTTGATGAGTAATAATTTCTTAAGCCACCTTAAAGAAGTTCAAGTACAAGGTATAACAATAATATACTCTCTTAGGACGAGGAATGGTGTGTATGTGCCATAAGTAACATGAAAGATTAAAATGTAAACGAAATGAGAAATAACCTATTTTATGTTGGACTTTTGATCAGTGCAAGTTTGAAATGGTCATGTTTCTCAGTCTCTAGTAAAACGGAAAATAAAAGAATAAATGTGCAGAGTGGATCTTGGAGCTGGAGGATCTTTGACCATAACACACATTTCCCCTGAGGATAAATGTTATATTTTAAAAGACTGTAATCTTTGTCCAGCAACATTATATCTCCTGAAATGATAATGCATACATAAAAGAAAACAGGTCCCCAGAATTAGTACTTAACCATGTGTTAAGTTTGACCAAGCCTGAAGGAAGGGGGAAAGGAAGTGGTGTGTTATACTGTGGCCATGTGCCAATAAATTTATCGTAATTGTAATTTATCACCATGAAGATGATGTATAAGTATTAAGGAAGAAGATATTAAAAGGGGGGGGAAGGATTCTGGAGCATTTTTTGTTAAAGAACTATTTACCGATTGCCAGTCTGAAAAAAAACAGAATGCTTTTTTGATGTGAAAATTGGTTGTTCCATAAGAAGAAATCAATGGAATTGGTTGACAGAGAACCTGGATTTCAGGTGCATGTACGAATGAAGGAGAAGGAAGGCTGGTTTCAAGTAAAGAGGGTAGTAGTGCAATATATGTGGAAGTATTTTCATCTCCTCGCTATAATGATATGATATGGTTCTCTTCTGGAAGGCCCTCTCTTTTGGGTAGCCCACTCAGTCCAGGTCAAAGCGGATTGTTTTCATTATTTGTCAAGGACATCTTTAGGGGATAGGTTCTTCTCTTCGTTGCAGTCCCTGCCCTCTTGAATGGTCTCCTTCCCGTTTGGATAACTCCCATCCATATGATCTTCAGGAAATTAATGAAGACCAGGTTGTTTTCCCAGGTCTTGCTGACATGGTGACTATGGACCCGCCTTTTGCTTTGGTCTGGTTTGTTTTGGTTTTGTTCTGGTATTTTGTTTCTGGTCAATTTATACAATGGGGTTTTTTTTTTTTAGTTATAAGTTGCCAGAGTTATTGTCAAACTCTGTCAACATTGTCAATTTAGATAAATTCATAAATGTAAATGTTTTATTTAGATAACGTTTAATTTAGATAAGTTCATAAATTAATTTTTTTTGACAATTTGAATAGGACTTTCTTGCTTAAAATTTTGGAGGATATGGACTTTGATGATAATTTTATTAAATAGATAAAATCAATTTTCACTTCACAAAAGACACAGATAATTCTGAATAGGAAATTAACAAACCCCAGTGAGATACAAAAAGGGACACTGATGGAACAGTGGAAAAATATATGGTTAAGAGTATTGAAATTTACCATGAAAGAAACAGGAGGAAAATTGAGTTGTTCAAATTTGGTATTTGAGAACACATACCTTGGATAGCAAAGGTGACAAACAAGTACTGAAGCATATAAAACCAGAGATATCACTGGAAGACAAAGATCACAAAATTCTGCCTTACTTATATTGGCCATGTCATGCACTCAAACTCACTGGAAAAGGTAGTTATGTTCAGATTGATCAGTGGTAAAAAGGAAACAAGGCTACCAAAAAACACAGTGGCTAGATGTTATTAAAGTGGACACCAGTCAGAGCATAAATTGAAACAAACCGTACAAGATCAGAAAATGTGGAGAGAGCTGGTCTGTAGAATCACGTAAAATCAGACTCAATTGAATGAATTCTGTTTACTCTTATCTATTACCAATTTGTCTTGACCGTAAGTAATTCCAATTCTTGTATAGAGGAAGCATGGAATAAACTTGTACTCTTTTTGGATCTAACCCTGACTCTTAGTTTATTGCGCCTGACATTACTGTTGGTATATGAATCCAGAAAAATCATCTAGAAAGTATAAAAATACTTCAAATTTGTGTTGGAAATGTGGACAACATGAAAAGCCATTTTATCATGCCTGCTCTACTTTTTTAAAAAGCCAGAAATTTCTGGGTTCAAATACGTATACTGATAAAAAGAATTTAAACCAGAACTTTTTTTCTTGCTGGATGTCAGTTAGAAAAGAGCCATGGAAGATTATGTTTATACAATAGATGATACTGATGCAATATATGCAACGACTCTGAAATACCCAGAATGGAGAGTGGTTGGAGAAGATGACATAACTAGCAGAGATGGCAAAATTAATGTTTGATTAGAGGAAGATCAACAACTACATTTATTAGTGACTACAAATCCTTTGTGGACTTTTTGCTGAAAAAAAAAGAAAAATGAACTTGAGATTTATGGAAAAAAGGAAATTATGATATAATTTTAGAGAGGGTACAAAATATGAGTGCATTTATAGCTGTCAAAAACATCAGAAGCTGCTTTTTTCTACTTTTTTTTTTCAAAATTTACTATTTTTCTTTGTGGCTTTTACTCTTAAAAATTCTTCAATGAGATTGTAAATTAAAAATATATATTTTTAAGAAGTGTTTTTAAGGCTAGGTATATGTAAGTTCAGAACCCTTGACAATACTTCTCTTTATGAATTTAGATTAACAAGCAGATTTTGACAGAATGCAGAATTCCCATGATTCATTGTATTACCATAATAATCCCGTCTTATATCTTTGCTCTGTTGAAAGGGCATGTTTTTGCTGCTTTTATAACACAAATAATCTGAGGAGTAGGATTGCATTAGTCTGCTCAAGCCTACAAAATAAAAGCTTTATAATACAATTGTTTTTAGACTTTAAATTCTTAAGAAGATACAGAAGATACTTTGCTTCTAAAATTGGCTGAAGCTTTAAACTGTGCCAGATGTGGGTGAAATTTGCCATAGCACTTTAGCAAGGCTGTTACTAGATATACATATACAATCAGGATAGGCTGGATCTGAATCTGGTGATTTATTTTGAATTATGCATACACATCAAAAGAAAATAAGATTTGACAATCTTGGCCCCTGTGATGGTGGGAAATCTCTGGATATCATCATCATGAAATCAACAGCAGTAATAAAATACTCATTCCTGTGTTCCCTATTGGTATGAGCAATAAGAAAAGTATGATGGTATTACTAGTTTAAGTACTTTGATATTTAACATTTATTAGATTTTTATTCCACCTTTATTACTCAAAATGAGAAATATATAAAAATACTCCTTTCTTCTAACAATAATATGCTGACTTCATACTTTTGTCTGGTTTTCTGCTCCAGATTTTGAGCTCCAGATGACACTTAGATTCCAATAACAGCAACAGACCATATCCCCAGTTATAACAAGACACACACTAATCTTGGGTCAAATCCTTCCATGTTTGGATTCTGGCACAATCATCTATAATGTCTTCTTGTGCCAGGTGCTAAGCAAAACAGAGAAATAAATCAGTTCCAGCCCAGAAGCTTAAGGCAGAACTAGAGCTGTTTTATGAACCATTTATGCTGCTGCAATAAATTATTCCCTGCCGGCTACAGTTTTTGGAGGATAGTTTTAATTGGCATTTAAAACACAATCTGCAAGGTTTTTTTTAACAGACTTCGTCTAGCGTTAAATGTTTTCACTGACCTTTCCCCCTCCCCTATTTTTTGAAAGTGCTGTGTTTTCTTCTCAGAGTTCTGCCAAAAGAAAACCCTCTGCAATTGATGGGAAAATACTTTCAGAAATTGTGGATACAATTCTGTTTGGATTTTGTTGCCTAGAGCAAAGGTCCCCAACTTTTTGAGCACCAGGGACTGTTTCCGTAGCACTGCCTGTATCCCATGGATGGGGCTTCGCTTGTTTGCGCAGACCGGTTTCTGGCATGCTGCAGCCCGGTGCTGGTCCACGGACCGGGGATTGGGAACCCCTTGCCTAGAATATAATGTCTGAGAACTCTGTTAATGGATTTTACATCTATTGCTCTCCGTTGTCTTGTTTCAGTTCACAAAAATGATGTCATTGGAAGTGGCTGACAGCACAGGGGTATATGCTGCTTTCTTAGTTTATCTGGACCTTCTAGAAGGTAAGTTAGTGGAGATAGCTTAAAGGGCAACCTGTAAGATTGGTGTATGTGTGTGTAAATGCTGTGGTATGTGCAGTATTGCCAAACAAATGCCAAGAATAGTTTTCATGTGCTTCATGAAATCCTTGGATTTCTGCAGCTACAGTTTAAAGCTGTGTCCTGTTGAAGACTGGGATTCCAGTTATCTTAAATGTCTACAAATCCTCCCAACTTTAGATTCCCTGGGCAAATCTTAGCACTGCATATACAAGTGAACCTATATGCGCATACACCCAAACTACAGTCCTGAAAAGGTTGCTTCCCTGTGTTAAAAGTAGTGGAGATACTGGAAATTGGAGTAGTTGGAGTGTCCACTTGCTTTAGTGCCTTTGTTTGTGAGTTGGAGAAAAAGCATTAGGATGTGCCTCCCTGCTTATATGGGGTGACACGGTGGCTCAGCAGTTAAGACACTGGGCTGGTTGGCTGGAAAGCCATCAGCTCATGTTTGAGACCTGAGCGCCATGTGATGGGGTGAGTGCCTGTCCTTGCATCAGCTCCTGCCAACCTAGCAATTCGAAAACATGCAAAGGCAAGTAGATAAATAGGCACCACTTTGGAGGGATGGTAACACTGCTTTGTGATGTCATGCTGGCCACATGAGTATGGAAATGTCTTTGGACAGCGCTGGCTCAGTGTCCTTGAAACAGAAATGAGCTAGCAGAGTAAAATCTGCAGGGACTCTTTTACTTTACCCTGCTTATATTGCTCTCAAAGAAGTCTGTTAGGCTGTAAGACTTTATATGTTAATGCCATGAACATAATATCAAACATACATACATAGAGCCCACCCATTCAATATGCAAGAGATGGGTGGAACACAGTATGTTCTATGGCCACTGACTGATGTCCTCTTGATATATTAGGATTACCACTCCTGGAATCACACTATAGCACACACACAGTTCAGATTTCTTGACTAGGCCATTGCATGCAATTACATATGATTAGCACTTTTGGGGGCAGAGGGCAGCCCTGCAAATTCTCTGACACCAACATACTCATGATGAAGGGATTCTATGGCTTCCATGTGTTGCTAAACTACCGTTTCTAGTATTTGTAGCCCACATAGCAAATCGGGAAGGATGCTAGGAGAGATCAATTACCAATATTGGGAGGGCCACAGGTTCCTTTTCTCTGGGTGTAGTCTGCAAAAAAAAAATCCTGCCAATCTTCTCTGTTAGGACAGGTAGCTTACTAAATCAGATTACCTATTTCAGAAAGTTGTTGTGAAATTAAAGAGAAAGAGAACAAACACAGTTGAGGGAAGAGAGCAAGGCAGATGTATTTAATCTATATCTTGAGGTTTGTAAGACCATGGTAACTAAATGTGTAAATGCTGGCTAGAACATTGAGGTCCTTCAATGAAAAGGTTATCATCATTGTTTCATAATTCATTCTGGTTTTTGTTACTCTCTGCTATACCCTTCAGTTCGGAACTGGCAGGAGGTATCCTTCACTGGGCTAGCAGAGTTCCAGCTGGTGTGCCTCCATGGACGTGAGAAGGAAACCGAGCCTTTGCAGGTAGTGGTGCCAGCTCCTGCCCAGGTATCATTCAGCCATGAGAGGTGAGTGTCTACAGAGGTGTTGTATTTTTTATTTATTTTTGCAGTTATATCAGACTTGATCTAAATGAGAGCTCTCTGAGAACTCAGTGGTATGAATGTGTATCAGGAGGTATTTTTTTATTTTATTTTCGAGTAAGAATATTATCACCAGGTAACTCCATAACTGAAAAGGAAATTTAGTCTGGATCTCCTTGGCTTGAATACAGCACCTTCACTACTGCACTACATTGTCTGTTTTCTAAGCAAAATAGCTTAGCATTTAGCTTTTAAGTAGCTTTTCTCCATCTACTAGCTTCCCTCCTTCCTATCCTCTTCCCTCACCAAGTAAGGATAACAAAGAAGGGTAGTTCACTCATACCATTACTATCCTTTCTTTCTGTGGGTGGAAAAGAAGAAGGAAAAATCTGTGAGGCTTTCTAAATATACCCATTGAGTACCCAAACACAGAGCATCTTTAAAACATGTGCAGATGGAAAAGTTATCCCTGTAAAATAGAGATTTGCAAAATTTAATGTGGTCCTTGGTCCTTCTAGTAACTAAAAAGTGATACATGAGAGGATGAGTAGAAAGATAGGCCAGAGAGTTCTGGGCTTCTCCCCATGATATAGAATAATTTCAATGTGCACAATTTGTACAGATTGCAAAATGGAGCTTTGCTTAATGCTCAGTCTTGCGTCGTCCTTATTTGATGTTCTTTGCTGTTATACACTAGAGCAGTGGTTCTTAACCTTTTTGAACAAATCGCCCCCTTGAGCCAATGAGGAAGTTGTCATCGCTCCCCTCCCCCAACATAATCTCTCAATCACAACATAGGAAATAATTCTTCAATTTAGGCAAACATTTTTTTTTTGTTTTCTTTAAAATTATCATCAGGACATATCGATGCAAATAATTTATTTCCAGTCTTTTTCCCATAGCTCAACTGTGTGAAAAATTTTGGTGCCACCCGGCACTTTATTCCCAAACTTCGTGATACATGTATTTAATTATTATCTTATTTATTCAAGACACTTAAATGTAATCACCACTGAAAACAAAATTCAATTGGAAGAAAGTGAAATGCCCGAAAAGAAAAACAGTAACATTTAATGATTGAATTACAAGTGAAATTTAAGATGCAAAAAGAAATATAAAAAGGGCATAAGAACAAGCTGCAATGCAGGAACTAAGAATTTCAAGACGAAAACTCTGAAACTAAATTAAGATTTGCGGAAAGTATATATAGTCACGCACACTGTAAAAAGGATTAAAAGACACAAAGAAAATATAATATCAAACTGGAGTGCATGCTAAAAAAGTACAATACAAAGAGACACACAAAATGTTTTACAGAGTACAACAAAAATTCGAAAACAAAGCTGAAAACTCAAACTGTGACGTCAACATTACAGCTGACGTCACAGGGGACAGCTACTCAGCATGCGATGTTTCGAAAGAAGCGCTCCCCCCTCCATCACTGCCCATTCTGGCCAATGGCGCACCATTGTATGGGTAGAGGCTTCTGCGCAATGTGCATGAAGATAAGCGATGCGTATTCACATATGTACAGCATTCTGTACTGAAGCTAGCTGGAGGAACATTTGAAAACACAATTCAATCCACTAATAGTGAACGATCTGATGTTTTTGTACGACAGATATACAGTGATTCACTGTACAAAAAAGTCTCAAAAGTGTTCCCAAAGCTTCTCGCTCCATCGCCCCCATATTGCCCCCTTTTTGTTCCTTCGCCCCCGCATTGCCCCTTTTTGTTCCATCGCCCCCCTGAAAAACAAAATCACCCCCTGGGGGGCAATATCGCCCAGGTTAAGAACCACTGAACTAGAGCACAGCAAGTTTAGAGGAGTAGAACAGATAACCAAATTGTAAAAAATGGAAATGAAAGATTCATCAATGGTTTTACATTTGGGGATGTATCTGAATTTCATTATGGCAGTTATAAACAATGGGAATTCTCTGTTCTGATCTGATTTCTGCATCTAGCACCAAATTATGAAACATATCTGGCACTTGACTTCCAAGCATGCATTCAGTTTAATTGGTGTTGTTGGAAGGCTCTTATTCCTTCTGAATCATGTTTAATGGCCCAATGCATACATGTATTAACTTTTTAGTAAAATTCATTTTTATTGATTGGAGTTATAATCAGGGACAGATAAATGGATGCAAAATTGTGTAGTGTTACTCCCATAAGCCTCAGCCAGGTAGGAGAATTATAATACAACTATACTGCCAACCTCTGAAATCATCCCTGCATCTTCTACATTCATTATGTTTTTCATGTTGTGTGTCTGTAAATCCATATTGTGAAGACTGTCGGCTCTGCCTTTGGCATCTGAATGAAAGAGGCCTATTGCTGGATGGCAGATTGAAAGATCACTTAGTGGTCAATCTTTTTAGTACGGCAAATATTTAAATGGATAATTCTTTCAAGTGGGCTTCTTTCTACGTTTGGTTTCTGCTTCATGAAGATTTTTTGCCCAGCAACCCTGTGTGGCTACAGCAGGATTTCTTCTCTAACAGTTTGTGCTCATTGTCTTATGTACTTATGCACCATTTTAGGACTACCAGATTAGAACTGCAAAAATCTAAATGGCAGCAAGGTGGTGCTGAAAACTTCTATCCAATTAAGTAAAATAATAAAATCTCATGTTTTGGCAAAACACGTGAGAGCTCTGTATTCTTATGTAACATATATATACACAAACACACACGTATTTGATTACACCAGTGGTTCTCAACCTGTGGGTCGGGACCCCATTTGGGGTCGAACGACCATTTCACGGGGGTCGCCAAACAACGCAGTCCGCCATTTCCCCCCCCCTTTTCCTTAGCTGTGCTACTCCCTTTTATTCTATTGGCTTTTGAAAGCCAATAGAATAGACTCTCTTGAATAGAGTCTAATTCTATTGGCTTTCAAAAGCCAATAGGAATTGTCCAGGCTGTCTCTGCCCTGCTGAGCCCGCCAAAAGTCCCATTCTGCAAACGGTGCTGCACCAGTTGAGTAGTCCTCGACTTATGACCGGTTGGAAGTCGCGGCATTAAAAAGGTTGAGATTACACAACAATATGTAATGATGCTTCCACCTGAAAAGGGTGCTGACTTCTGTTTTAGCTTTTTATGGAATCCCAAAGATATAAGAAACCAAGATGTTGAGGTTCAAACCCGGGTTTGAAGAATAATATATATATATATATATATATATATATATATATATATATGTATATGTATATGTATATGTATATGTATATGTATATGTATATGTATATGTATATGTACATGTATGTTAACAATTACACTAAAAATATGATCCCTGGGTATATCCATATTTAAAACCAAACAAATAAATGTGAGCACCAGGGAGTGCTAAAAAATTTAATAAAATTTAGTAAAATGTCAATAAAATTACAATAAAACCAATAAAACGCCTAGCTTTCATCAGCAACTGCTGACATCATCAGGGCTCAAAATGCCGGTCAGTAGGAGAGTCCTCTTTATAGATTGGCCAGGGTCTGCACCCGGCTCCTAGATCTTGTCATTGGGCCTGATGGGATAGGCTGTTTCCCGGTTGCCGGTTTCTTATTAGCAATAATTGATTGTCGTATAGAGAACATCCAGGGTGAGTTAATTAAAACTAGGATGGAATGTATAAAGATCGGAGATAAAGAGAGGAGACTCCTGGGAGCAACAACTACCAGATCGTACTCGAAAAGGGGAGAAACAGCCTCATTAGCATGTTTGGTGAATACGACCCGCCCACCCCACCTCGCAATGCCGATCTGCCCGTAACAACAGGCAACACGAAAGAACCCTCAAGACGGCACCGTGCAAGCAAGGAGCAAGGAGGAAACAGGGGGTGTGATAGCAATTAACTTGAATAACATCTGCGGAGACCATGATTGGGGAAAACACAAAGAAAATAAGAGACAGTGCATTGCAACGGGGCAATCAGAACGGAGTGAAAAAGGGGGGGATGAAGGTGTGCAACTAAACAAAGTGGGTGTAGCAATAAAGCAAAAAAAGGGGGACGTTCCACCAAACCCCGAATTTGGCAAAGAGAAAACACCCGATGACATTTACACAAGCAAGAAATGCAAGAAAGCAATTATTGCTAATAAGAAACCGGCAACCGGGAAACAGCCTATCCCATCAGGCCCAATGACAAGATCTAGGAGCCGGGTGCAGACCCTGGCCAATCTATAAAGAGGACTCTCCTACTGACCGGCATTTTGAGCCCTGATGATGTCAGCAGTTGCTGACGAAAGCTAGGCGTTTTATTGGTTTTATTGTAATTTTATTGACATTTTACTAAATTTTATTAAATTTTTTAGCACTCCCTGGTGCTCACATTTATTTGTTTGGTTTTAAATATGTATATGTATATATATATATATTTGAGGCAGCTTCACCTTTCCAGGAAAACATTTTTGGATACAAAATAAATTCTTTGTAATCAAGAGGATTTTCTTCAGAGTGCTTAAAACCATACTCCAAATGATTATAGTAATCAGAATAGATGAGAATGAGTAGCAGGCCCCAGGTTCTATTTGGCTTTATTTTCAAAATTAAGTAATAAATGTTGCCTTGTAATAGGCTTTCTCATTCCTGCTGTCTCCTTTCCTGTTAGTAAAATTTCTACATTCATAGCAATCGGAGCTAATTTTCACATGAGTGTAGAAGGTGCAGGTATTTTTTTAAAAAATTAGTTTATTAGAAATTTCTTAAAAATACAAAAAAAAAACCCCAACTAACTAAAATATATTTGAAACCAAACTATAAACAGAAGTAAAGAACATAATTACTATAATAACAAACAGAAAACAAGGAAAAGAGAAAAATAATGAATATGCCACTTGTATAACTAGTATTAAACAAGATATGAATATTTCAAATTAAAAAGAAATAAACACTGTTGTAAAATGAAATCTGTGCCAAAGAGAAACGATCATTTATTATTTAAAAAAATGCCTTTTCAAAAATGGGAACAGTATATATCCAGTT